TACCCAAATATAAATCGTCCAGCTTCCATTAGCCAAAATTTATTTGTCCATGCTCCAGCAGCAAAGACCACCTATGCAGAGGTAGAAACGTTAAAAACAATCTAATCACCACAGTTTTCCCAAGGATTTTTTTCTATTGAGCTATATGGATTTAAACAGAATGTATATCTGTTTAAGTAACTGCATTCTTCTGAAACTTCAAGAGTACATTACCTGTCCAGCACAGACAAAAAGGGAAAAGATGATGGTTCCCAGCCTGTAAACAAGAACATGGGGAAAGATACCAATCAAGACGACATGTACAAAATCCATACGGAGCATTCACTTTTGTCTTTTGGGTGAAAATACATAAACAACACATAGTTGGCAAAAAACATACAACCGACTGGTTCTTCTCGTTACCTGACACCAAAGACCCGATCAAGCAGAAATCCCCCAAAGAAGCAGAGGACTACATTAGGCCAGGAGTACCAGGCGTACAACTGCATGAAGTCTGCAGTCGTCAGATGCAAATCCTGGGCGAGTCACAGAAGAAAAACAACAGACATTGGACTCTCGCTTTGTGTTAGTTTTTGCTATCATTTTGTGTTGAGCACAATGCACAGTAGGCTCTAGGTTTTTGAATAAATCTGTGTAACAACACCATTTACTAGGAATCTTATTTGACTGTTCTTGTTGTTTATTATGTATATTTCTTTTGTTTACATAGAGTATGGTGACCTTTAAAAGACAACCTCTGTTCTATATAAAAATAAATCTCCAAAAGCTTGTTAGTGTGGGATTAAAATAAATGTCTGCATTTGGTTTTAAGGCCCTGGTGTAAAAGTTTGAATTATGTGTGAAATACCTGGATGACTTGACTTTGGAGTGCAGCGGGATTATCGTAACAGAAGTAGCTTCCTGGAACAAAGCGCCCACATTAGCGGGGCTCAGACGTGACACTATTGCATTTATTATACATTTCATACATAATAAGCAGACAACAACGTGCATTATTTACAGTAGCTTGATAGTATTTAACTTTAGTTAGTCCCAAATCTCCCAAATAGCTCGCCGTGCCGCCTTTTACTCCTTACCGAATCCCAGGAAGCACATAAAAAAAAGGACAACCAGTCGGTGCAGTAAGCGGCTGGGGTCGCAGATGGCGAGCATGGGCCTGCCGGGTCCACTGCCCCTGTCCTCGTCTCCCAACAATCTCTGCCGCTCTTCCAAATCCGCCATGTTCGATTATTTGTGAGGTTCACAGCAGAGAGAAAGACCTACCGTAAGAGTGTCAGTCATATGACCCGTTATGCACGTCACGTGGCATTATGTTCGCGCAGTGAAGCTGGCGTACGCCTCGGGAGCGCGCACAGTCAGCTGAGCGGAGTGGGATGAGTGTAAATAACAGACGAGGTTTCGTCTTACACAGTGAGCACAAACGGTTAGTTAGTAAGGTTTAGTAACGTTTGTCACGATGTGGCATGAAATATTAGACGCTAAAAGCTTTTACTGTTGAGATCACCTTTCCCTGAAAAACGAAAGATGGTCTTTTAGGGATGTTTTGAAAAAGAAGAGCGGAGTTTGCGTTTAAAAATTCTTCTTTGAAGAAACGAAAGCGGATTCAAGTGGTTTTAAACTTTACAGTAAAAAGTGTGGCAGTATTTTTGGACAGATAAAGTAGTCACTTTAATTTAAAAGCTTAAACTATTGTGATAGCTAGTTTCGTTGGTCACCGGATTCAAAGATGGTGAGAATAAAGGTTAATGAAAATTGTAAAGACTATATTTCTTCATAGGAGATGGAAGAATAAAGCAATAAAGCTAAATCGCCTATATTGGACTTGAATTGTCAGGTGACCTGACAGGTGATTCCCAACATGTCATCAACATGTCAAAAACTATACAAAACTACAAATTACAAAAACTTGGTGGGTGGGGGGCGCTGATAGTCACAAAATAAACAAATGCTATTTTCATTACACTTACACGTTAGATTGAGCAAATATGATAAATTGTATTTCAAAAACCAATACTCAGACATTTATCTCAAATTACAGACGCTGACTTGATGGTAAGACAGACCAGTGACAGACCAGGATTTTATCTTTTAATAGTTTTCAAGATTTTCATGTTTAAACATTTCATAGCGTGAAAAAAAAAAGCCTAAAAGGGGGTCAACCGATCATCTTGAAACATATTTGATATATGAAGTTTCAATTGTATAACAGCCCAACTTTGGACTATAAATCTTTTATGCAAATCAGAGAGAGTGGAGCAGAATGCTCACGTTGATTTGAGAACGGCATGACTCGTGCCAATTCGATATTTTGTGGTATTTTATGTTTTTACCCTCAAGCGGGTCACCTCATAAACTGTAGTGAGTGTAGGCTGACTGTCCACTGTTTTGTGAAAGGAGACAGATACAGGTTGAGGAGTCAGTGTCGCTGTCCGATGACACAGACGCAATTGTTGTGGAACTCCTGAACTTTTCTGTCAGTAAGGACTGCTGTCTTTGGTACTTTATTAGTTGCTGTTAGCATCTCTTAGCTGCTGTTAGCTGCTATTAGTGAAACTTTCTTTGAAGTGGATATAACATTTTTGGACACAGACTCTTGGCAAATAAACTCTCATATGATGTGATAATGTAATCACACTCTTTATCAGAGTAATGCTGTTAATAACCCCCAATGTTATATCACTCCATCCATCCATCCATCCATCCATCCATCCATCCATCCATCCATCCATCCATCCATCCATTTTTCTCTGTTTATCTGGGGATGGGTCTCAGGGCAGCAGCCTGAAGCAGAGAAGCACAGACCTCCCTCTCTCTGGCCACCAATTCCGGGTTGTGCGGCAGAACACCAAGCTGTTCCCAATCAAGCTGCAACATATAATCTCTCCAGTATATCCTGGGTCTGCCCCAGAGCCTTCTCCCAGTGGAACATCCCCCGACACCTCACCCAGGAGGCATCCTTGTCAGATGCTCTAACCACCTCAACTGGCTCCTTTCGATGTTTTACGCTCAGCTCTCTCATTGCAGCACCACAGCGCCAATCTGTCTGGCGATCTCCTGCTCTCCTCTCCTCCCCTCGCTCGTGATCAAGACCCCGAGATACTTCAATTGATTCTGATTTTTTTTTTTACTTTATTGTAACCAAATGTAGATTCCGTGCAATATAAATATATCATCCTAACATATTTAATTGTCTAATAAACTTCCTAAAATGACAGTGAGTGTTTTAAAACTGTTGGCAGCTCTAACATGAAAACATTACTTGACAAGTGTGTTCGGGTCTTAGCGCTCATCTCCATATTTTTCCTGCTTCCTTTTTTATTTTGACAGTCTCTCATCCTGTGTTCGGTGTGTTTAGTTTTACTCCCCCTGTGTCATCATATCCATTCATCCCAGCTGTTGTCACCTCTCTGTGTGAGTTTCCCTTTGTTTGTCGTCTGTTCGTCTAGCTCAGGTACTAGATGTTTCATGTTTCGTGTTTCATGTTTAGTTGAAATCAAGTTTTGTTTCCACGTGTCTGCTTTTGGGTCCACATTTCAGCCTTCACACGGTCTGTCAGTGCAGACCTTGACATTACTGGTTTTGCTGACATGTGAGCTACACAACCATGCAAGTAAATGTCAGTCCCTACCTCATGTTATAGATCCCTAGTCATAGAATTCTGTTTCTGTGGAAATGGGTAGGTAACATTATCTTTGGGGGGTTTATTTAATTTCCATGAATGTAATTTAGTATTTCTCATAATTCACTACTATCATCTGTCAGAGGATTTAATCTGAAGGTGATGAATGGTCCTTCCCCCGGCTGCAGTTGCTACTCTCCCCACTCAGTAGCTCATTAATTTCCTGCCCAAATATCAGCCTCTGTCGTAACCGACAGTGGGTGGGGTGGAGAAAGATCATATTTCATTATTATATTAATCAAACCCACATGCAGACTGGATTATAAATCAGGTGGGAAGTGACATTAATTCTGCCGAACCAGTTTGTGAATGTCCAGAAGCCCATCTTCGGGGTGTGGTAGTGTGGAGAAAAGTCCATTAATTCCAGATCTGTATTCTTTTTCCCATCCCTTGTTCAATTTGAAAATTCATCAGAAGCTGCTGCAGCATTGTGAAAGGCAGTATACTATACTTGGAAATTCTTGCAGCATTGCTGGGCGTTGTTCTAGTTGGGTTGCAGTGGTTGTTATCAAATAGCTGATCTCCTGCAATGCGCTATGTGTCTGCGTTTCTGTCCTCATGTTGGACAGGGTGTTGTTCATTGTTCTTTTTTTTACCTTCATTGTTTTTTTCAAAAAATGTCCCAAATATGAAATAACACTGATATTAGATAGGTAAATATTGTCATCTATCATTTAGTGTAAAGTGTGCAAGAAAAAAACAAACAAACAAATAATTCAAATAATTAAACACCATGAAAAGTTATTTGAAGCTCTGTGTTTCTCAACCATATTCCTGTTAAGCTTTCATAATGCACTGACCTTTTCTTTCTATTTAATTGGCATCTTTTCTTTAAGTACCAGATGTGACAGACTGACTAACACCAGTATTTACGTTTCCCAAAGCAGATATTTCAATTTTATATTTGCCATTATGTTTGGTTTTATTTCATTTTTAATATTCACTTTCAATTCAGTTTAAGCAGACTAAAGATAAGGACCATACCACTGACCTTCTGATTAGCAAACAGCGCACTTTATCACCTGATGCAGACACAACAGTTTGTCAAGATCATGATCTCTTATTCACGATCTCTCATACTTGAATCGTCTGTGTTCAGAAGCCAACATAAAAAATACACAAATTCAATTTCATGACTAACGCTAGTTCAAGACATATTTACGACTCATGGTAGCCCCCCTAAACTTAACTTCAAACCTCATCTATTTGTATGTAGCTATTGTTGTATATGTTTTGGCTTGCTTTTTAGCTTACCCACCAATGATGCTTGTGTGAGCTTTGTTAGCCTCAGCAAAGTACATAAAAGTGAACACTGTGCAACTGCAGAATGAAAAATATAATTTTTATTAAACTGATAGTAACATTTTAATTACTGGAAGCAGAGTTTGTTAAAGTCTATTATTCTTCTTTTCAATGATTATTCAGTCCCTTGTTACTAATCCTTGGAAAATTTGTGCTGTCAAGATCTTCACCACGTCAAGGTTTTTGCAAAGGGAAAGTGCAGTTTATGTAAGATTAGAAAGGAGGAAGTGTAAATGACAGCAAGTGCAAGCAAGGAAATGTGATGGATGACTTAGCAAAAAAAACAAAGAAACTTGGTTAGTACTGTATGAAAAGCAGTAGTTGTAGCTCACAGAGACTTTTTGGCTTTCCTTCTTTGACACATTGTCTACTCATCAGTTTTTTATAAACTTGCATTCGTTTTTACATGGTTTTTTTTTTTTTTTTTTTACAACCATCTTATTAGGAAGAATTACTATATACAAAATAAACATTCTTCCAGGGTGTTATTAATTGTGTCCCAGAGTGCACTGTTCACTGGCTTCTGACGTGCCGTTGTGTGACAGCCTTTTACTGTAGGCTATCTGTGAGATCTCAGGTTGCGTTGATGTGGCTGAGTCAAAACCTTTTTGGAGAGACTTAATACAGAGTGCAGCAGTCAGTCTTCTCCTGAACACCTTGCATAGAAACACGTAGATAAGCGGGTCTAGGCATACATTTGTTGCTGAAAGCCACAGGGTGGTTTCCTTGGCAAAGTAGACGGCATTCTGAGCCTTGCAGTCACTTGTTGCGCTCCGTGTTTGGGTGAGGGTATAGGGAACCCGGACGAAGTGAAATGGTGCAAAGCAGATGAAAAACACACCCACTACAACGAAGACTTTCGCTTTGGTTTTGCGACTGGCACCCCGAGATCTACTCTTTGAGGCTTTGTATGACTCATAAACCTTCTTGCTGATGAATGTGTAGCAGACTACCATCAAAGCAAGCGTCCCCCAAAAAATAACCTAGAAAAACAAAACAAGAAAAGGGGAAATCAGAGGAGCACCTCGCAGCTTTTCTCCAATTAATTTAGGTCAGCAGTAGCAGTAAGATTCTAATAACTGCAGAAGGACATCGTGTATTCTGTTTAAATTAGCTGATTGTGTAGTTCAGATATATTAATAGCAACACTTCTCTATTGTGCGAAATTTGCTTACACACATGCTTATGAGTAACATTAAAAAGCTGACAGCAGTGTCATCTGTGGGATACATTTAAAGGAGAACAGCTGGTTCTGAAATTTTATGGAAGGAGGTTGAATATGAATGTTTACTTAAATTTCAAAGTGTTTCCTTAATTCATAGCTACCTGACAGAAGTAGTTGAAACCTTCATGCCACAGCAAGCCAGCCGGGCTCTTCATGGACGTGCACTTCAGTCTGGTTCCAGACGGCCGTGGCGGCTTGTCACTTAGAATAACGTTGGGTAACGCTAATGATAGCATTACCACCCAAACAGCTACACTTAGTATCTGACCAACACGGACCCGCTGAAGGGCACACTTCCCAAAGGGCCTGACAATCTTCAGGTAACGGTCCAAGCTAATGAGACCCAGCAAGAGGATGCTGATGTACATGGTGATGTAGAAGAGCACCGCAGAGTATCTGCAGTGGAAGGCGCGTAGCTGCCAGGAACCCACACCTGCATCCGTTAAGATTTTCAGAGGGATGGTCAGAGTCATGAGCAAGTCAGCCACCACCTGTTGTTGAGCAAATTTTAACCTTGTTATTGTAATGCTGTTTTTTTTTTGTTGTTGTTTCCTTACTTTGCAGCGGAGACTAAACCTACAAAGTAAAAGCCTTGGTGTCTTACCACATTTTTTAGGAAGACCAGAAATGTTGAAGTGCTTCGGATACTGAAGAAAATCCATGCAGCGAGGGAGTTTAGTATCAGAGCAACTATGAAGAGGACACTGTATAGGCAGGGGAAAACCACAGCTGTTATGCTGGTATCCCGAACACACTTGAAGGAGGTGGTGTTGGACAGGGTGTTGTTCATACTGTGATCCTTAGTTGGCTTTTGACAGGGTGAGAGAGTGAAAAAAAAGATGACAGAGACATCATAAGAAATGATAAAAACACTGTAATATGCTGTTTCTACAATTAATATGAGATAATTATAGCATTATTGTGTCTATCTCACAAAAGTCCCTAAGAAAATGTAGCTGAAGTACTTTATTATTATAATTACTTATATGACAGATGTTTATTCATTTATATGACAAGAGTTACAAAAAAATTGACAACAGGAATTATCAGATCATTTTGAATGTTACAGCTGCTTCCTACCCTCTACTTAAAAATACCAATACTTAGTTTGTTGTAGTCATGTAGATACAGACTTAATATATACTTTAAATGCACAGTCTGAGCTTCTGTTCATTCTATATTCCCTATGTCCTCTCTTCTTTTTGCTCTGAAGAATAGCACTGAGGTTATACACATGGACTATGGCAACTAATACACACTGCTTTCAAACCTTTGTCTGGTTTAGTGTGCACTCAAATGTTAATTAGATTTTCTGCAAGTTACATTGTTAGGCAAATTATGTATTTGTGCCCAGTTTCACAAAGTAATTTATCTGCAAGATGTACATGACAAGCCAGTAATTGAGTCTTACCTTCTTTTTGTGTCTTTATCGTCTGTTTAGGTGGGGCATGAGAAGAATAATGACAAAATGCAACGGAAAATACAATGTTTCATAAAAAGGAAGAAGTGAAATAGCAAATTCCTCTTTTTTCTTCTTAGCCACAGGAAATAATGAAGGAAAATAAAAAAATAAATAAAACTGAAAACCTCCTGCTGTTATTTTAGTTCTTTAATCAGTCCAGGAATACTGGTTCTGGCTTGAGTCTTGAATCTTTATGTCTTTCTTGGTATTTCCTCCCCTTCTGACTCTCTCTTTTTAAGTGTTTTTGTGTGTGTGTGTTTGATGCTCTTACAATGGGTGGTCCCTGGAGCTAATGTGTGGCTGTCTTGTCACAATCCCAATGAGTTTGCCAGTCTTCCTCCGGGTGAAAGACCCTTTCCTTCCTTGCTTCCTGTTCCAATTGTCTGCTGAGAGGCTTGCTCTACTCCGTGCCAGTCCCTCTGCCTCCGCTAGCTTGCGTCAGACTTAGTAGCTGTTAAGAGGCGAACACCACAGCCACAGACTTATTTGCAGACCTCTTGCACCCTACAGCTCTTCGCTCCACCTCGCAACTAATGTTCAATACTTACGCCTTGTTTCAAAAAGTCTCCACCAGCTGTGGTTTTAGTGGGCAACAGTAACATGCAAAGCTTGCACATTGCTCTTACTGACTTCACTTGAAAGCAAGCAAGCTCTACCATGATGCATTAATGTAAAAAAAAATTGGGAAGAAAATGATATTATTATAAATTGCCTCTGTTTGAAATAGCGTGTATTTTCTGTAAATAGTATCAAATTACAACAACAACTGACTGATTGACCATCCCCTTCCACTCTCACTTTCTTGTTAAAAATAGGACATTCTGAGAACATTGCAAAAATAACTTCCTGTGGGATTTTATTTGGATTTGAACCAAGAATTATGACAGCTGCAAAAGCAAGTTGAGAAATGTTTCTATTACAAGTCTCCAAATTATGTTGTTGCTTAACACACATCACACATGTAGATACATATCATGACAGATAAACACAATATAATTCCGTGAACCAACAGTCAGTTTGGCACACACAAAGAAAAATATATAAGTAAAAGCTCAGTGAGATCAGATGGAATATACAGACATATATTTTAGCAGATTAATAATTAGTAAGCAATGCAGTAGGACATAAACTTGTTGCATACATGCTTAACATCATACAAAAATGTATTTTAGACAAACTCTTTATTGCCATGAACCTTATTTACTTTAACCACAGTCATTACAAAACATCTACATGAAAGACAGATGATTTGCATGTTAATTGCGTTGTCTCCATTCACCTTCTGATTAAAGTGCTACCTTTACATAAAATATGCATGAAAATACCACTTCACTCTGTTGCGTTTCATGTTACAGTTTTTCAAACTCTTCATGTGGTACATTTAGTACTAAAAGGACAATTTTACACGATTTAAAAGAGTAAATAATGCAATTAAATGTTAATAAATACAGGAATAATTAAGTTCAATACAGCAATAACATCTGAGCCGATCTAATCGGGGGATACTATTTCGTAAGATCTATCAGAATTTAGTCTGTTGCAAAGTGGTGTCTGGTTTGTCTGGTGCTGAAGCCAATTTAAGTGAGATGGCAACATCTGCCATCAAAGATACCAGTTTCTCTTTGAACTCTCTGCACAGAAAGACATAGAGAAGTGGATCTATGCACGTGTTTGTGGTGGCAAGCCAAAGGCTGGCATCTTTGGCAAATTTGCTCAGTTCAAACAAGCAGGAATTACTGGCATAGTTGACTTGCTGAAACGTGTATGGGATCCTGACTATGTGATATGGTACAAACGCCACAAAAAAGACAATAATAACAAGAAAAACACGTAGTTTGATTTTCTGCTTTCCATGGTTGTTATTGCTGCCGGAGTTTCGAAATGACTCGATGACTTTGTTTGTGATGCAGATGTAGCAAACCACAATGACCAAACTGACAATCCAGAAAAAAATATTGGCAAAAATCACTGTTTTTGTATGATATGCAACTCCTTCTGTTCCTTTCATTTGCATACAAGTAATGACCTGTGTCGAGTTGGGTGATTTATTAGTTAAAATTATATTTGGTAAACCTGAGACTCCAAATATTGTTATCCAGACTAAGCCTGCTATCACTTTGCTAAATGTCACATTCTGGCCAAAGTTTACGTGGGGTGTCATGATTTTGAAGAAACGGTCTACACTGATTAAACCCAACAAACCAATACATATGTACATTAGACTGTACATAACGACGCTGAAATAACGACATGACAGTTTGAATATAATTTGTGATGCACCCGACAAGTCAGATGCAATTTTGAATGGGACGATCAAGGTTATTAAAGTGTCAGCAGCAATCAGATTTTTCAAATACACCACAAAGGTGGTGGTGGACTTAAGGTGTAGGGACACCCAGGCTGCTACACCATTCAGCAACAAGGCTAAAGGGAACATCAGATAGTAGAGGGCTGGGATAACATTTGGGTTGTAAGTGAAACTCTGGCACTTTGAATCATTTTGAGCTGTCTCAGTTGGCATCGCTCCACCTAGAGAAGGAAAACATGTTTTAAACGGCCATAGTTCCAGAAAAGAAAATCCCTATATACTCTGTTTAGTAACGTATGAATTTTAAACAGATTGTTCCTTGAATGCATTCAACTTGAATGGACATGAAACACTACATGTATCATTGCTACTGAACAAAAAAACTGTTATAGATTTAAAACTGTCTGTGTAGTTGGATTTAAGTGCTTAAAGTGAAAGCTTTCAGGACGTGTTTAGTGCCAGTTTGTGCCAGTACAGAAAGTGACATCACTGGTTAGTTAGTTGTTTAGTTGCTGCTAAGACACTTAAATAGGTTTATGTAAGTTAACTAGTGACAGGTCCAATAACTGAGTGAAAAACAAGGAAACTGGAACTGATAAGCAGTGTAAGGAGGTCAAATTTATGCTGCCCTTGACTGCAGCAATAAGTTTTATATTTATATATAAAAGTCCACTTTCACTGTCTGTCTCTTGAGCATTAATTGTTTTTTCATTGCTAGCTAGCTGCACTAAAATGGGAAAATCCACCGGTTAACCATGATGTTATGGTTTGTAGAGCATTTATAAATGAGGATTGTGTCGATGAGAGCCAAGCTGGAGTCTGACATTCAGTTTGGTGTTTCAGCTGGCTTAGTATACAGAAGCATCTGTGCCGAGTATGGCCTGGAAACCTCAAGGTCAAAATAGGAGACACGCCTAGGGCGGTGGAGAATGACCGAGCTAAGATTCTGTGGGACTGCCAGATACAGACAGACTAAATAGTGGTGGCTAACCAACCAGACATGATAGTGGTAGACAGGAAGCAGAAGACAGCCGTAGTGATTGACGTAGTGTACCAAATGACAGCAACATCAGGAAAAAGGGAAACGAGAAGCTGAAGAAGCACCAAGGGATCAGAGAAGAGCTTGAGAAGATGTGAGGGTGAAGGTAACAGTGGTCCCAGTGGTAATCGGAGCACTCAGTTCCCCAAACTCCCAAGCTAGGCGAGTGGCTCCAGCAGATCCCAGAAACAACATCGGAGATCTCTGTCCAGAAGAGCGCAGTCCTAGGAACAGCTGATTTACTGCACAGGATCCAGTTGGGAGTTTGCCTTGTAATCGGAAGGTTGCCGGTTCGAGCCCCGGCTCGGACAGTCTCGGTCGTTGTGTCCTTGGGCAAGACACTTCACCCGTTGCCTACTGGTGGTGGTCAGAGGGCCCGGTGGCGCCAGTGTCCGGCAGCCTCGCCTCTGTCAGTGCGCCCCAGGGTGGCTGTGGCTACAATGTAGCTTGCCATCACCAGTGTGTGAATGTGTGTGTGAATGGGTGGATGACTGGTTGTGTAAAGCGCTTTGGGGTCCTTAGGGACTAGTAAAGCGCTATACAAATACAGGCCATTTACCAAAGCAAAATTGGGAATCCTTATATCCACCAGCGTGTCCGCAGGGAAACAATCCTCTCCTTCAATTAGATTTGGACTTTTTTATGTTAGGATTCCTGATCATGCTTTGGTAAGAAACTTATAGGGTTATTTGTGGTGAATGTAGTAACCTGATATGTTGTAAACTGTTTGGATGTGTTTGAGATTCCACAAAATGTTATTGCATAAAACAGCACTGATCGAATGTTGTGAATATCAGGGTATTGCCGTGCTTAGTACACCAGTGGATAGGAAAAATGACAGGAAAAATCAAGTTTCTGACTTCGGTGCACCTGACTCAAACAGGATCTCCTCCACAGGGTCCTCATTTGTAAAGTGCTCTACAAACCCTAACATCATGTTTAACAGACAGATTTTTGCATTTCAGTGCAGCTAGACAGCAACTAAAAACAAATTACTGCTTAAAAGACACAGAGTTAAAGTAAGCAGCGCATCCTTTTTTGTTTTGTTTTTTTTGCAGGTTTTTTAAAATTCCTTATTACAGCCCTGCATAGACTGCTTTCCAATTTTAGTTTTCTTTTTTTCCACTCACTTGTTGGCTTTGTTACTGTTAGCTAACATAAACTAATTCAAGTCTATTACCTGCAACCAATCAACAAACCAACCCAGTGATTCTGTGTTACAGTGACACAGTGACAGTCTTTAGAGCAGGGTTCCATGGTGTAAATTAGCCTTAATACATGTAAAGTGTCAAGTCCACTTTAATGTTCAACAATTCATGACTTTTTTAAATTACTTTGATATTTTGAGTTCTTTACTCACTCTGATTACTCTGAAAGGCTGCATCCCACGTGAAATCCATTATCTCTTGCTTATCTTAGTCCAAGCTGCAGGCTAAACAGGGCAAAAGCAGTGGTGTATTATTATGTTGTTTTAAATACATTTATTTATTACCAGTATTTTATTTTCAATTTCCATTACAAATAAATGACGTCCTTCAATAACTGTATTAAGTGTTAATTACTGTTCTGAATTCCCAGTTATGAAAGCTAATCAAAAAGTAAATACATTATAATCCAAATGCTACAGATTATATGCATCCTTATCCTGGCAGGATAATTCATTCTCTTTATAGACTTTACAAAGGAGATTTGATAGAAACATAACTAATCCAAGAAATACTCTATACATTGTTTAAATGGTTAAATATGTTTGTTGGTTTAGAAACATATACATTTCTTACAGAAAAGTCTCTGTTTAACTTTGCTATGCAGGACATATTTAATGAATTATTCTAAACTAGAACAGAAAAATCCTTTCAGTGTACAACTGTAGACTAAATTCAGTGTTATTACACTGCTCTTGAGAAGTAATTAGTTGAGAGGTTATTTTTGTCACCCCTGATTATGCTATCAAAGTGAACACTATAGTCTTAAATAAAGATAAGAGCACATCTTGAGAATAACTTACAGTTGATGACTTGAGTGGTTCTTCTAAGGCACAAGATAATGCTTGACAATGCACTGACATGGCAGGCGTTTAAGAAATACTGTTGATTTTCATGGCAAACAAATTCAGCTGTGAGTCTGGTAATTTATCAGAGCATATGCAAAAACAATAACAGCTTATTGCTCTCTGCCGAGAAACAAAACAGATGCCATAAATCCAGCTCGCAGTGTAAACTGTGATTAGACCTGAAATTCAATGGGGTGAACCAGTGTAGTCAGGGTGACCCATGATTTTTAGTGCCTGCATATAGACTTCACACATCACTACATCTGCCTCACTTTTAGATTGAAGCATTTATGGGTGTGTATAGAAAAGACCTCTAACTCCCGTGTTTTATGTAACTCGTCATCCTCAAAGTTACTCTCCACTCATCATAGTTTTGACTTTTATTGCCGATGTAGGAAATAAACGTTCTTCTGAAAAAATATTATTACAGTGTTTTTAATAGACTGATTGCATTTGCATCGATGGGTTGTTTATTGCACTAGTTAGTTCAAGAAATAAATTGACAATCATGTAGCAAGTGACCAAAGCATGATATCAGATGTTAAAGCAAACACAAAAGCCCTACAGCCTTCACTGAAGTTTGTTGTCTTCTTAAACAAAAGGAAATGCAACAGCTGTGAAGAGAGTTTATCGTGCTGAGAGAGGACTTGTGCTGAAGAACAAAGAGGACACAGTTGCATATGCACATTTATTCCTTAGAGAACGATTAAAGATTTTGAAAAAAATTACACAGGCTATAAAAGTCTCTAAATAAGAAATTAACTCTAACAAAAGAATTACATGAATTACATTCTGACAACTCAATAGTGCACTTTAACAGTAATCTTATTATATCTTGAAAAAAGATTTATGAGAATTCTTGTGGTTAGCGCTTAGCAGTAGCAGTTTAGCTCTTATAATAAAAGACACAATTACATTCTTTTGTGCGGCAAAAATGCATTTATAAAAAGCCGAGTTATCTTTCTATGGTGTGTGAAAAACAAAGCAACAGATGATAATTGAGTTAAAACACTGAAATGAATGATAAACTACATCTATCTATCCATCTGTCTAAGCATCCACATATTCACCCATTCAAAGAAGATGTACATTGCTTAACACATTAATTAGTCCAGCTGTCATAAAAAAAGAAGACACAAATATTTTAGAAAACTATAAAAAACTTATAAAAACATATATTGTTATTGTTATATATATCTGGAAAATAAGAAACTGAATTTACGTGTTTATGTAAGTAAAACTTTTTTTTTTTTAAATTTGAATTGTGTGTGTGTGTGTGTGATTTTGAACCCAGCCCTTAGAATCCAGAGTTGATGATTTTGGTTCTCAACTAATTTCAAAATTAATCTAAGTGAAGATTTTCAACTTGAATAGTTCATTGTTAAAGCTCCAGTCTGTGATTTAAGTGGTCCCGAAATAATCTGAACTGTATATTTATATACATATGTAGAATAACCAGCACATGTATGTATAAAAAACACACAGCTTTGATTAAAACAAAAGGCAAATTGAGATTTGCTGAGTCTTTGATTAGCTAGAATAGAACTGTATATTTACAGTGCATTGTACTTATTTTGCAAGCAACATAACATTTATTAATCTATCTATGCATTGTCTTATTTCTGTTGGGGGACCTCACTCTCAATAGATGCTGATCCTTATTGGGTCACTAGAGGGTGGTACAATACAAACTTTAAAGATCAAAAGTGCGTGCTATGGTTTTGTTTTCTGAGTAAGTCAGATTTTAATAAATTTACCATAAAACACTCACCCAATTTTTTTTTTTTTACTAAAGATCAAATACTTATATCTCAGTTTTTAAAGGTTCACAAATACAGAAAAATAGCCTTTGTCCCACTTTGTTTACTGTGACATCACATTTTTGTCACTAGAATGAACACCAGCACAGATACTTTTCTTCATCTCCACTAGTTTTTCTCTCTACTCCTTGCACAGGAAGATGTAGAGAAGAGGGTCTAGGCAGGCACTGATAGCAGACATCCAGGTGGCTAATTCACTGACTATCTTTAACCATGTTGGAGTGCAGACATCAGTGTCAGAGAATTCATTTTGTGTCATAGGAATATTATGTGGAGTGGCACAAAGCACACCCAAAAAACAAGAAGGATCAAGAAGACTTGCAGCTTGGTTTTCTTCTTTCCCCGTCTGTTATTGCTCCCAGAGTTTCTGAAGGACTGCAACACTTTCATGGTAATGCAGATGTAGCAAAACACAATCAGTATGCTGACACACCAGAAAAGAATCTCCATAAATAAAACCACATATTTATGGAAGTTTTTGCCAGCTGGGGGTTTCAAAGACGTACATAAATCATCAGTTTGAGTAGCAGGAACCTGGTCAGTGAGAAAGATATTTGGAATAGCAGTACCACCAAACAACAGAATCCAAACCAAGGTGGACATTATTACACTGAACTTCATATTTTGCCCCAGGACTTTTCCACGTAGTCGAACAATTTTGAAGAAGCGGTCCAAACTGATGAGACCCATTAATACAATGCTTGTGTACGAAGAGCAGTAGAAAGAGACGCCAGCATAACGGCAGATGAAAGCCCTAAACTCAACTGTTGCACCCGGAAGCATGCTGGCTGCCTTTAGTGGGATCATGAGTGTAATGAGAAGGTCAGCAGCCACCAGATTCTTCAGATACACTATGAAGGTAGAAGTGGACTCTAGATGTAAAGACACCAACCTGCTATTCCATTAAGTAATAATGCAATAGGAAACATGAAGAATAAAAGATATAAGAGAACTATGTGGAAGGCCACCAGGCCGGGAGAGCGACAGTCAGAGGAGAGGTGTTCTGTGCTGTTTGACATCGTCAATATCTGGTAAAAAATACATAGGGGTCAAAATCAAACTAAGCATTTGTCTGTTTTTTTTGGCAAAACCAACCTTTCTCTCCCACTAAGGCCTCATTACACTGCAGATGTGCAGACTAACTGTAGTTACTGTGTGCATAGTTGCTCTCATAGTGCTTTCTAGTCTGGTCGAAATCCAGTCTAGTCTAGCCTGGATGTTTTTTGGCTGAGGAGTTCCATACACTTGCAGTACATTGCTGTCTACAGGAAGATGTATTCTTCTTTTCCCCAAATCTGTGAAGTTTCCCTCCAGAGGTTATTGGCTTGTCTCGCAATGATTTGAAAGATGAATTGTACAGATGCAAGTAGCAGCAGACATATGCTCATAGCGTCTCTTTAAGTTCAGAGCTTATAATATTACTGATGCGATGCACCAGGTGCATGCTAGGTGAATGGCAGTACTGGACATGAGAGGGGACCTACGCCTGCATTTACAGTATGTGCAACAAGCAAACACAAATAAGCTGCGAATCATGCAAGAGTGCGATATTTCATGTGCGATATGACAACACACAAAGGCCGACATGTCTGACGTGGAGAATGGGGCGTGAAATGAGCTGGAACGAGATTACTTGTAGCAGTGTAAATTTTTCCACTTTGCCCACTTCGACATGATTTACATTTTTTATAGTTTAGAAGACATTTGTTACTTGGATTTGTTTTTGAATGCTACCCCACACTATTTGAATGCATCCTGAATGACGGCTGTTTTGCCACTGAAGGTTTTATTTTTGCCTCACTGAATGCAGTACATAACACATGCAATCACCTATAGATGCATTGAGTCACGACCTTACTTTATCTCGTGAAGTGTACTGAGGTGCTTCCCTTTCAGCCTAATACAAACCATTTGCTTCATAGGTTCCCTAACATGTCAAGTACTTACTGGCGGTTTGGTTCCTGGTGATGGCAATAACACGATTCTGTTCTCACACATGTATGTCAGTAAATATGTTTCAGCTTGAATTCATGAAGAGCCGACGCGTGACCTGTGTGAGTGAGCAGACCTGATTGTTTTTCTCAGTCAGAGACACGCAGGGACACAGGTAAACAAAACTGAAGCTATACAAATGCACTGTTAAGTCATAAAGAGACCTTATGCTCTTTTTAAACAAACAACATTTAAGCATACGAACGATTTATCACTCTGATGTTAACCAGTCCTACATATATATTTAGCTTCAGCTAATAGTGAAAATAGTGTTAAGCCACTCACCACAAGGAATGGCCAAGTCCTTAACTCCAAACTGCACAACATGAAAGATTAATGCAGTAAAAAATGAATTGAAAGTGCCTATGTGCCTTTTCAACCAGAGAGATTCAAATCTGTGAGCAGATTCAAATGACACATATTGGTAGGCCTTGTGTTTTCAGGCCAGAGGGAAGTGATTTATGAAGATGGAAATCGAGGTTGTTTTATTACAAGCATTTATTACTAATGTGTATTATCTCTTTTGGACTTTTTAAAAAAAATTGAGTTGGGTATTGTTTTGAAATGTGAATAATTAAATAGATTTTTATAGAAGTAGACAGTCCTACAATAATTACAAAAGAGCGATGCAGGGTTTAATAATAGCCTGTGTGAGAAAAAGCCACAGAAAAGCTGTAATCAACACTTGACTTCCTTTATTTTTGTTTCATAATGTGTTTCTGCAAACCTTTTAAACAACTATCTTTTTGCTATGCAGTTATGACAGAAAGCAGCGCTTGTTTTTGGAGATCCCTGATATGTCCATTCCAACTTTAGTTTCGTTGTAATTCATTTAATGCTTCAGAATAGCAATAATAACAAGACTGCATAATCTGCTCTATGGTTTACTTATCCTTAAACCTCACTCAGTGCTAATGCAAGCAGCAAGCACCCCCGTGCAGCATAAAGACATCACAGTATATTAAAAGGCGATTGCATATAATACTTAGGGTTCATTATACAGATTTTTGCTATAGTTTCACAGTAAGATATTCTCTGGAAGTCTTAAAGTTAGTATTATGACTGCTTCTCAATTCTTCTTTTGTTGACAGTGTGAGAATAAAAAAAAATCCCCAAAATGTTATGTCCAACTTCAACAGAAGTAGAAAGAAGAAGTAAGAAAAAGTGACAGAGAAGAAGACTAGAAAAGCAAACATCGGCAACACTGCGAACATGTGTTGATTCGTTTCAGCTTCTCATTGTGGTAATGCTGATTCACATTGTTTTCAAAGACAGTGTAAAATCAAATATATGGTTTAATGCTATTAGTATTTTTGTAATATTATAAGTTGGTAATAAAGACAAATATGGCTTACTCTTCTACAGCCAGTGACAGGCTTTAGATCACTATATCTGTCCCTTGCAGCATGTCATACAGTTGAATTTGGATTTAGTTGACTTTTTTACTATACGTCATCATAAATGCCTTCATGTCTTTCTCAGGTCCAGTGATTTTATGTACTAGCAGTGGAGTTTCCCTGAGGGGAGCTGCACATGTCGGTATCTGATCCGCTTCCTGTTAGCCAGCTACAAGTACCAGGACGTAGGTGCAGGGTATTAAACAGAGTGGTCCTGAAGGACTTACAGAGAAAGAAGTAGATGAGAGGATCCAGGACAGAATTCAGGGATGAGAGGAAAAGTGTACTTTCCTTCAGCTGAAAGAAGAAGAGCTTGAGTTTGCAGTCAAAGCTTTTGGCTCGGGTCTGGCTTATTGTGTATGGCACTCGGGCAAAGTGAAATGGCACAAAGCACACAAAGAACACTGCCAGAACCAGGAACACATTTGCATTCATTTTTCTTTTGGCCTTGTGAGGCTTTCTAACTGTTCCCCGACTTGCAGCTTGAGATATCGAGCCTCCGGTGCTGTGAGACTTTGTGCGAGAGTAGGAACGGTACAGCTCTTTGGTGATTAGAGTGTAGCAAACTATCACAGTTAACAGGTTGCCCCAGAAAATCACTTGACAGATATGATTTACTATCTCATGCCAACGTAGCCCCCCCTCTGTCTTCAGTTTGCTGCACTGGAAATATCGAGAAGTCGGGGTTTTACTTGTTAGGATTACATTGGGAAGACAGAGAATTACGAGGAAAGTCCAGATGGCCCCCGAAAGGAGTTTTCGATGTTTCAGCCGAGTTGAATTAGTGCCCTTAAATGGGTTAAGGGTCTTTCTGCAGCGATCAATGCTGATCAGGCCAAAGAAGAGGATGCTGATATACATGCTGAGGTAGAAAAGCACGGAGGAAACTCGACACACAAATATCCGTAGGCCAATGGACGCCATGTTGGAGTCTGACAACACCTGCAGAAACACAAACATTTGTGCTGTCAAACACCTATTCCACATTCAAACCACAAATTCTATCTCTAAGTTTGATGGAACCTATTTTCATTGGATTATCCTGAAATTTATGGTTCATAAATTGTCTGTCTTTTAATTTTCTCTCACAGGAAACTCTCTTATTAAAAATCTGATCTTTAGAGTTAATAGATGTTTATTCATTAGGGGCTTACAATTTAAAACTAATCACTTCTTGCTTGATTTCTTTGTAGTTCAGAACTCATGATTCTGATTTACCAACAGCAAATTTGTTTGCTTAATTATATTTACAACTCAGGCTCATAATCATTTCTTAGAACTTAAAACAATGAGAAAAAACATTAAAATACTTACAAATAACCTATGAAATACCAATAATTTTATAATTAACCATCAATGAATCCTTAACTCATTTAGATTTGCTAATGCAAGCGTGGCAAACCTTGAAAGGGAATGTGAAGGTCATGATGACATCTGCAACCACAATATTCTTCAGGTATATGATGAAGTGAGACTGCGAGGGGATGCGAAGAAATATCCACACTGCCAGACCATTGAGTGACATTCCCACCAGGAAAAGAAAGGAGTAGAGAATGGGAAAAACCACATTCTTCAAAACATTGTCACGGGAGCAAGTGCTGTTGGCGTGGCTGTGATTGCCAGCGAACAGGGGGAAAGCTGTATTTCTCTCCACGTTGCCTGAAAAAAAATGGGAGAGGAAGTTGTTTTTCTTTAAGTTGCTCAAGAATCTTAATCATGAAAAAGTGAATCTTTGTGTAGCCACATGCTGTATGGAGGAAGTGGCTAAAAACATCAGAAATAAACAGCGTTGTTTTGCTGATGCCATTTTGCACAATGTTCATGAAAACAAACACTGCAATACACCAGCACAATTTTTAACACCTGCTTTTTGTATATTTTAGCAAAGACTGCTACAGAATTATTTCAAAATTTGCTAAACATCAAATTAAACACCTTTATTAAAAATAGGCTGTAAGGTTCTGTTTTTCACCTGACAAGTTCTCCTGCGTTCTGTCAGTGAATCCACATCAAGTCCCAGCGTGGTGTCTTTTGGGTTTAATGGTCCCTCGCTCTTTAATACTTCCAATTCTTACCAGATATAGACTGTCTGGTCCTCCTAGTTTCAAAGTTTTGAAAAACGGGGCGTGAGTTGCTAGTGATGTAAAGGTCAGGAAGTTATCCTTGTTGCCTTCTTCTTTCACTTTCCTGTCATGTGTCATTACCAGAGTTATGTAATCAGACACAAACATTCATTAAATTGAATATAAATCCATTTTTTAAACTATAATACAAGTGAATCAGCTTCCCCCCCCCCCCTTTTTTTTAGCTTCCTTTAATTTAAATTACAACTATTTTGTAACTTTCACTGCTTCTACTTTGTATAGGCATTTTTTCAGGCAGTAATTTTTATTTTTATTAAATTGTTCTCCCAAGTCTTTGCAGTCAGGGGACAAACAACACATTGTATTATAACCAACACATATTAATAGCTATTTACATTTCTCTATAAAACTATCCGGTCTTTAGCTGTGTCTGGGCCCAAACTCCGCTGCAGGTCCATAAGTCAAATGATCACTGCTTGATCACTGAGAGTTGAAAAACTGTCTAAATTCTTTCGTATGTAATAAAATGATCAGTGTGGCTGCTCTACCAGGTGTAACAATTATGGCATTTAACGGAGTTAGAAGTTAGCAGGGAGTTAGCTCGCTAGCTTCCACCTAAATATGATATAGCATGTTTACAGTTTTTCAGCAAACATTGAAAATATCTTGCAATGCTTAGATTTTGATAATGGAAAATCTCTCTCTCTCTCTCTCTCTCACACACACACACCACACACACACACACACACACACACACACACACACACACACACACACACACACACACACACACACACACACAGGAAAAAATAAAAAAGAACAACAAAAAAGAACGGCTGGGAGGCATATGGCAGTAATACCTTTTCTTCCATTGTGAAACAATATCAAGGGGTTTTTGGCAGCTGCTTCACTGATGTAAAACTTTTCCACCGCTCAGAGCTCCATTCAGAATTTGAACTCAGTGCCTTCCCATGTCATTTTGATTGCAACGGTTATAACCGTGTTCCATGATGTGAAATAAACATGTCCATTTAGACAGGCTCACCTTCTAACTTCCCTCTTCTGGAGTCAGAGCCTGAAGAAACACCAGCCATCTGTGATGAGATATTTTAAGTCTGGTCCAAATGCCTTTTAGAAAACAAACAAACAAACAAACAAACAAACAAACAAACAAACAAACAAACAAACAAACAAACAAACAAACAAACAAACAAACAAACAAACAAACATCACGACCATTTTTAATAAATAAACAAATAAGTAAATAAATAAATAGTAGAACAAACCATTCTTCTTCTTTTTTTCAATATATTTTTATTGATTTTATAATTGAGCAGTATACAACAATCACCTTCAAAAGAACACAATAGAAGGTGGACAGCAAGTCAACAAGGTGGTAATACAGCATACATGAATGTTAAGACAGAGTATATTTCACTTAAGTTTATCCATCAGGCTAATGACTGGTTGCCAAATCTTATACAGTAAAACACACTCTCTCGGTTAGACAAGGTAAACCTGATTTTCTCCAGATGGAGTACATTTCCAAATTCTCTCAACCACATTTCGAAGGTAGGAGGTTTATCAGACTTTCAGCAGAGAAGTATCAGCTTTCTAGCCACAAGTGTGGTCATTGACACAACCTGCGTCTCTGTCTTGGCCCTTGCCCATCCCAGTTCACACACCCCAAACAATGCTGCAAAGGGGGTACATGGGACCTCCCTGCCAATGGCTTTGGTCAGAAAATCAAACAAATGATTCCAAAAAAGCTGTAGTTTGTGGCATTGAAAGAAAAGGTGAGATAAAGTTCCTCGACCACTTGAACACTTAACACAGAGGGCTGAAACGTTCTTATATATTTTTTCCACTTTAGTGGGAGAAAAATGCAACCTATACACAACCTTAAATTGGATCAGACAGTGTCTAGCATTTATAGAACTACAATATATATTCTTAATGCACTCTTGCCAAAGATCATCAGAAACATCCACCCCCAGTTCTTCCTGCCACTGCTCCCTAAAAGTATTAGATGAAGGACTGTATATATCTAGTAAGGCCCTGTAAAAGCGAGACACAGCACCTCTAGTATAGGGCTCAACTGACATGAAGCTGTCAAGCACTGAGTTTCGAGGAATCAAATTGTATTGTGGAATAGATGCCTTGATGAAATGTCTTAACTGTGAAAATCTGAAAAAATGTGAATTAGGAAGATTAAATTTCACCCTCAATTGCTGAAAAGATGGAAAATGTCCATCAATGTAAATATCTTTGAGAGAACAAATCCCTCTTCCCTGCCATGTCACAAACGTGATGTCCTCCAGCCCAGGCCTGAAGCCATGATTGTTACATATTGGAGCATCCAAATACATTTTAGGAGCCTTTACTGTGCCCAATAGTTGGTTCCAGACCTTAATTGAATTTTGAATCACAGGATTTCTGCCATATAGTGTATTCTTCACTTTTATCGGGCTATTAAGCAGGGCTGGAAGACAAGTTTGTCTACAAGACAGGTGTTCCATCATCAACCATGAAGGTTGTCCTTCCAAATCAGCACCTGGAGTACACCTTTGCCAAAATGAAAAAATATTTAAGTGTGCAGCCATATAATATAATCTAAAATTTGGGAGTCCAAGGCCACCACAAGTCTTATGTTTAATAAGATGTTTTTTGGAAATTCTAGGAACCTTACCCGACCAAACAAAGGAGGATAGATTCCAGCTTTTTAAAATATGACTGGGGAATGCACACTGGGATTGACTGAAAGATGTACAAAAATCTGGGCAAAACTACCATTTTGATGGCAATAATCCGCCCCAGAACAAACCATTCTCATCTCCGCCTTGCCATACTGTTTTGTGACCCCTGGCTACACTTGCCTGCATTTGTTTTCATGAAGGGTTTTGAAGACTTTAAAGGGTTCTAAGGGTTTTAAGTTTAATAATCTTAATTATATGTCACATGCTCAACAACATTTTTAAAAGAAACATTTTCTGTACCTTAAAAACACAGTAAATAAGAAAATTACTCACTAAAACCTAAGCTGTAAATATTAGTATTTAAAAAATAATAAGCACAAGTAATGATGTTCAGTCCAGTTACAGTTTCAGAATATTGTGCTCGATATTTAGAAAGGTGTGTTTTATAATTTCATGAATGATTTGCTGATGAGCACTGGCTATAAAGGCCCATATTTACTTCTCTGTTTAGCACATTACTCTGATGCCTTCTGCCCTTCATTTTCCTAAATGCCAGAAGCTAGCATGGCAATGCTGCAACTTCCTGTGTCTGGAATAAGACTGGCATTATCAGCAGTATTCAGTTCCTAGAAATGCTTTTCTAAATTTGTTTTGCCTACATCTATTAGTCATGTGGAGTCAAATATCACTTTCTAAACTCTCTATAAACTAAAATATTATATGTAAGGTCATTTTTCCAATCCGCCATATTTCTATCCAGTCATGTTTTCTGCAGCTATGTTCTCATCACATCTGGGTTTGATCAGGACTGAATCAAGCATGCGTTCTCCTGGATTGGACCCAGGATCTACATATGCTTCTTTTCAGTTTAACACTAATCTGTCTGTCTCTTTGGTTTCCCCACTTTTTTCGGCTTTGGTTTTCATAGATATAAAATATAAAATTTAGAACTCAGGTCTGACATAAGTTAGTCAGCACTACCCACTGCAGAGTTTTATTTAAAAGAATCACAGCTTACTTCCAAGAAAGGTCATTTTTGTAACCTTGTATGGGAACTGTATGGGCAAAATCACATGTTAAAGATGCAGACCAAAAATGGCAGTAATGCAAAAACACACCACAATTAAGAACAACTAGACTTTGCAGTATTTCCAGTTTTGGTTAACTTAACTTCACTGTCTCCGAATATTGGTCAAAACTATGTCTGAAAAATGTTTATTGGACAGATTGGTTTCAGATGCATAAACTATAAACAGAATCCAAATTATTTTGCCTCAAATCCTCATTCAGCAAACCCCTCAGCCTTGAGGAGAAAATGCCCACCGAACACAGCCACATGGTCCCAGGTGCTCAACCCAGTTTTTGTGTTTGCTTTGGTTTATGTTCTAGTCTGTATTTGTGTCTCTGGAGCTCAGTCTTCCTAGTCTCATATTGGTGTCTTTCAGCCTCCGCAGTCATGTACCCACGTCCTTCTGTTCTCTCCGGTCCCATGTCAAACCCACGTGTCTTAGTCTCAGTGGTTGTACTTCCTGTTTTATTTTTATAATCTCCTGCTTCCTGTGTATTATGTTCAGTTTTGCTTCGCCTGTCACATCACTCAGATTAGTGTCAGTTGTGCTCCCGCCTGTGACTGCTTCCCTTGTTATCCTCGTTGTGTACATATTGTCTGTGTTTCCCTTGTCTATGTTCGCTGTCATGTTCTCATGCATAGCAGGTGTTTGTTCTGTCCACCTGTTTTCCTTCCTGTCAGTGAATCAGTTTATTTTATGTTTTGTGACTGTTTAGTTTGTCCTTTGCCTTTTATTTTTGGGTGGCCTGTTTTTCCAGCATTAAAGCTGCAATTTTTAGTTCAGTCCAGCATTTTTGGGTCCAGAACTCTACCTGGCATGCACCTACACCTGCAGATATGACAGATACTGGCGACTTTTGTGTCTTTAGCATGTAGGTTGTGATCAACTGACAGTTTCTTATAAACTTTGTAGAATTTTATCAGAGGCTTGCTTCAAGTGACTATTCATTCAATTCCATTGAACAGACACTATTTCACGTCTTCAAATATATCAAGTAATTAATAGATAATTACAAAAGTTAAATATTTGAAAACAAAACTTAAAATAGAGGAAAAAGCTAAACACAAAGCATAACACAAGACTTGAGCTTTTCGCAACACTATCCCCCTCTGTTCACTCGCATAGTCTTCCGATCAACCACAAACTTAAACACTGCTAACATACCAGCAGCGTCAAACTACTCTTTTCACCCTGTGGTAAAAACTTGAGAGCAGATAGAGAAAAACTGCTTTAGGCAAAAGCTTAAGACCTGTGAGGTTGTGATAACTTTGAATGGAGTTGGACAGAATGGAAGAAAGTCTGGTTTTCAGGAAAATATCAAACTTTTAACAACGAGGTCTTAAAGCTGTGTGAAGATGCTCCCCTTGCCTGGTTGATGCACAGGCAAGTTGACACTGAACTTTGACCTCTGACCTTTGCTAACAGTTTATGTTTGATCACTTTGTCATGATGACAGGTTTAAAGACGTTAGACAAAAACTTCTTACTACAGCGCGAGAGAAAGAAAAACAGTGGGGGTGGTCCTTGCTTGTGGTCTGTTTGACACAGTCTTTTGCCTTTATGTGCGCATGTGTATATGTATGCATTTCCTTTGGCTGGCTTTCAAATTGGTCTCTCTCCACAAAGTTGAAATGTGTGGGCTACAGTTTGTTTTGACAGTGTAAGGTTTTTCTTAGCTACCGCTCCTACTTGTGTGCTGCTCTGTGTAGTTTCCCGTGGGTCTGCCTTCCATATGGTTATCCACCTTGACCAACTTGACACAGATCATATAGAGGTAGACTGGTCTAGCTAAAAATAGTGAGCTACAGCATGTATATAGCTTTTATCAAGGCTGAAACAATATTTGCTGCCATTACATATTTATGATAAAACTCTTATGAAATGGTCTCAGAGTCATACTGCTAACTTAAGCACATTCTTCATTTCTCATGATCCCCATGTGTCCAGTACAGGTGTGCTGACTGTCTGCATTGAAATGGCATGAATACAAGACCATCAGTGGATCCAACTGGCTCCGAGTTTGTACCGGTGAATGATGTAGTTCATTCCATGTCAGGCTCCAGTTTGTTGCTCCTATGATGTTTTCCTAGCAACAGCATTTGTCTCTGCATTGCTACAAATCACTGTTCATGTCTGAGGTCTGGCATTTGCATCACTGAATGACCCAGAAACACTAATTGGCTTGCGCAACAGATTTTTCCACAAATCCATCCATTTGTCACAATTTAGTGGAAGTGTTGTTCTCCGTACGACTGGTTATAAATGAGGACTGATGCACCAACAGAAGTGCTGAACAAAAGTTTTTCCAGATTTTGAATACATATGTAAT